GGGAAGAGGGGGGGAGAGAGAGAGAGAAAGAGAGAGAGATATAAAGAGAGAGGGAGAGGGAGGAAAAAGTGAGGGAGGAGGAGGGACATGAATAATTTAATTTAATAATCAGAGAGACAGACAGACCAACCAACCAACAGACAGACAGACAGACAAACAAACAGACAGACAAACAGACAGACAAACAGATAGACAATCAGACAAACAAACAGCCAGACAGAACAGAAGACCCTGTTCATCACCTGTGATGAGGAGCTGCTCGGTTCAGACGCAGACAGAGAAACAGACAGACAGACAAACAAAAAGATAGACAAACACACACCTGTGATGAGGAGCTGCTAGGTGAGAGGCTCGTGGACGGGAGCGACACTCGTGGGTGACTCATCAGTCGCGGGCCGCGGGCCGCTCGGTTCAGACGGGTCACGCTGCCTTTCTTGCTCACCTGGCACAGGAAAAGAAAACAACAACATGCAAAGCAAAACTGAAAATAATTTTCACATGATTTTGTATTAGTAAAAGTTTTACGGCATTTGGAAGATGGTCTTGACACTTTCAGAAAAGGTTGTCTCAACATAACGTCAAGATTTTCTCAACACTTCCAGACACTATTGGCGAGTGGTTGCCGGGTGCCCTGGTGTGATTTGCTCCTTTTTTCTTCAAAAATTTATCTTCATTTATCTCTCCTCCTTCTATTTTGCATTTGTTACTCTCTAGCAGACCTCTAATCTTCAGCACTTATAAGACCTTACTGAGTTGCAAGTGCCGTAAAACTCTTACTAAAACTAAAGACATTATTGTTTCAACATAACAGAAAAAAACTGTTTCAACATAACATCAAGATTTTCTCAACACTTTCAGAAAAGACTGTCTCAAAATAATAGACAAGACTGTCTCAATGTAAAAGACAAGAACTTCTCAATATAACCCCAAGAATGTCTAGGAATAACAGACAAGGTTGTTTCAACATAAAAGACAAGATTTTCTTAAGACTTTCAGAAAAGATTGTCTCAAAGTAATAGACAAGAATGTCTCAAAATAATAGACAAAGATTGTCTCAACATAACAGTCTCAAAATAAAAGGCAAGATTGTCTCAATCAACACTATCAGAAAAGACTGTCTCAAAGTCATGGACAAGCTTGACCCAACATAACAGACAAGTATGTCTCAAAATAACAGACAAGATTGTCTCAACATAATATGCAGATTTTCTCAATACTTTCAGACAATGTTGTTTCAACGTAACCCCAAGAATGTCTAAAAATGACAGACAAAATTGTTTCAACATAATAGACAAGATTTTCTCAACATTTTCAGAAAAGATTGTCTCAAAATATTGGACAAGAATGTCTCAAAATAATAGACAAAATTGTTTTAACATAATAGACAAGATTTTCTTAACACTTTCAGAAAGACTGTCTCAACATAACAGACAGGAATGTCTCAAAATAATAGACAAAGATTGTCTCAATCAACACTATCAGATACAAACGTATGCTCCAAAACATACAGACAGATTTCTTACCCGTCCCATCTGTTGGTTGGTCAGCCATTTCTCCCAGTCGCTCTCCGCCTTCTTTTCATCTCTCGCTCGTTTAGAGGAAATCTTGGAGCCACCGATCTCCCTACGTAAGGACAAACACACGGAAAGTGAATCAGTAACATTATAATTTGTGTAACGACGGGGTGGAATCAGGCGCTCATCAATTTTTGGGCATGTGGAGTTATGGGTATCATCTTAAAGCTTGTTCACTTGTCTTGCTTTCGAAGAAAAAAATACAAGTCAAGATATTGGCGATCGAAGGAGGTGGGGGGTCGCCTCGCTTCAAAGGTAAAATTAGCGAGAAAACGGACACCAAAGTTGAGTTATTTCCTTAGCTTGAGAGTCCATGGAAATTGAAAAATAAGAAGAAGAAGAAAAAAAAGAAGGAAAGAAAGAAAAAAAAGAAGGAAAGAAAGAAGAAGAAGAAGAAGAAGAAGAAGAAGAAGAAGAAGAAGAAGAAGAAGAACAACAACAACAACAACAACAACAACAACAACAACAACAACAACAACAAGAACAAGAAGAACAAGAAGAACAAGAAGAACAAGAAAAAAGAAAGAAAGAAAGAAAGAAGAACAAGAACAAGAAGAACATCAAGAACAACAACAAGAACAACAACAAGAGCAAGAACAAGAAGGAAAGAAGAGGACGAAATTCTCCAACAGTGGCAAACACACTCACAGGTGACTCCAGCAGGTGGAGATGGGTCCCATGGCGGATCCCTGCTCAATGTTCATGGCATCCAGGATCCAGCTGAGGGCACACAGTTGGCGGAACAACGCATCTCTGAGGACATGTTAAAAAACCCAATGTACACAGAAGATTCCTTGTCAAAACAGATTCACAAAAATACACACATACACACGAACAATGCATCTCTGAGGACACAGAGACACTTTATAAAAAAACAACAACTATGCATACAGAAGAATCTTTACTCTTGTTTTAGAAAGAGTTTTACGGCACTTGCAACACAATAAGGTCATATTAGTGCCGAAGATTAGAGGTGTTACAGGAGAGTAACAAACACAAAATAGAAGTAGAGAAGATAAGGATGATAGATGTTTGATAGGTAAAAAGGAGCAAACCACACCAGAGCACACACCAACCACCCAGAATCTTTACCCATGTAAACATAAAAACACACAGATGAACAAAGCATCTCTGGGGATATTGTAAAAAAACCAAAACAAATATGCATAGAGAGAGGATTCCTTACTCATGTACAGATACAAACACATACACAAACAGACACACAGACACACACACACAGCGCACATTTGGGGACATATAGCAAAAACTTATCATTATCCAGCCAAACAAAAGTGACATATAAATACTCTGGAGAGGTGTTACAACAAAATTAATGTGAGACGTGCTGACAAAATGAGTCACTTCTCGAAATCCACGAATGGAGATATTGGGCCAAAAATGGACACTAGAGTCAAATTTGTAAATTTTTTATTGATGCCCTATTATTCTTTAAGTACAACATAATATTCTTTATTATTTCATACTTATAGATTGTAAAAACTTCACCTGTTGCTATTAGAGTTATGTATCTATTTCTACAGGGCTTGAATCCGAGAAGTAACTTATTTATTTGTCAGCACGCTTAATTCTCAGTACCCAAACAAGGTTGGCAAATTATGACCAATAGCTTACTTAGAATAACAAAGAAAGTTTTGGATAGGAACCCACAGGATAAGAGATCAAAGGAAAGACCGCGCAGAACCAGGAGAAGAATCACAGAAATCGATGTACAGAAAAGTGGGAAGACATGGAATAACAACAAGAGGCTAGCCAAGGATAGAGAAAGGTGGAAGGTGTTTGTTCGTGGCCTATACCCTGGTGCAGGGCGAGAAAGGCAATGATGATGATGAGCTTACTTGGAAAGGTCTTCCTTGTACTCTGTGACCTCTGCTATGTTGGTGTGCTGAGGGGTGTAGGGTCGGGGAGACAGCGGCTTCTTCCACTTCTTCTTGCTGGACGTTTGCGACTTGGCACTGAGCAGGAAAAGACTGTTCGTTTTAGAAAGGTTTTACGGCACTCCCAACTGCACAATGTCATATGAGCGCCAAGGGGTGGATGTCAAAAGAGAAGTCCAAACAGGGAATCACGCTTACTCTGCTCACCTCTCTAGCCTCAACAACACAAAGTCTGCTTCGAGTATCAAGGCACCCCCAAAATAGTAGTTCACAAGAGAGTGACAAACATACAAAAGAAGTAGAGGAAAAATGATGATAGTAAGGATGAGGAAAGAAAAAGCAGCAGTTCCCCCTATGTTGTTTTGACAGCTGAAGGTATTTCATGCTTCTTCTCTGTGGCTGCATGGTGCATACTCTGCTGTCTTATTTATGCACGTATTGAGTTTTAACAAGATTTACATATTGTGCTGTGTGCAAGATGGCTGGAGGTTCAAGTTTAGTTTTAGTAAGAGTTTTTAGTTTTAGTTTGGTTTTAGTAAGAGTTTTACGGCACTTGCAACAAAAGAGGATCATATAAGTGCCAAAGAATATATGTGTTTCAAGAGAGTAACATACACAAAAAAGAAAGAGGAGAGATAAAGACGACAGATGTTTGATAGAAAGGAAGGAGCAAACCACTTCAGAGCACCCGCCAGCCACCTGTGTAAGAGTTTTGCAGCACTTGCAACACAAAAAGGTCATACAAGTGCCACAGATTAGAGGTGCTACTAAAGAGTTACATACAAAGGAGGATACATAAGGACGATAGATGTTTGATCGGAAAGAAGGAGCAAATCACACTACGGCCTCTGCCAACCACCCACACCTCAGAATTTCAAAGTTCTATCTGATATTTTTTTTGCCGCTTTTTATGACATCAGAAATCAAATGTTCTATCTTCTCTATCAAAATCGTAAGATTGTTCGAAGTGGTTATCAAGATATGCAAGGAATTGCATTTAAAAAGGCTTGACATGATGTGAAACTCAACATTTTTTATGTCAAATTTCTCAAAACTAGGTACTTAGCAGATAGAACTTTGTAATTCTGGGGTAGCAATGTGCCAACAGGTAAGCTTAAACGAACACACTTTAGTTTTAGTATGAGTTTTACAGCCCTCGCAACACAATAAGGTCATATAAATGCCGAAGATTAGAGGTGTTAAAAGAGAGTATCAAACACAAAAAAGGAGGAGATATCAGGATGATAGATGTTTTATAGGAAGGAAGGAGCAAACCACACCAGAGCACCCGCCAACCACCCACTGGAACACACTGATGATGTACAGAAACACAACAAACAGAGAGCAGAGCTTTTGTAAGTAAACAACACAAACATCACACTGCAAAACACCAGCAGACAAGCATGACCCCTCACTCCCCACACAGGAAGACAAATCTCGTGTGACGTGAACTTGGAGGCAAAGATGATTCAGGAAAAAAAAAAAAAGCCCTAAAAACAAAGGGAGAAATAGTACACTCAAAAAAAAAAAATGTAACCTTCTTACAATTTTCAACAAAGGGAGAAATTGTACATTAAAAAAAATGTAACCTTCCTACAATATTCAACAAAGGGAGAAATTGTACATTAAAAAAAATGTAACCTTCTTACAATATCCAACAAAGGGAGAAATTGTACATTAAAAAAAATGTAACCTTCTTACAATATTCAACAAAGGGAGAAATTGTGCACTCAAAAAAAAAAATGTAACCTTCTTACAATATTCAACAAAGGGAGAAATTGTACACTCAAAAAAAAAAAATGTAACCTTCTTACAATATCCAACATGTCGCTGTTTTTCAAACTTTAAGTTCCTTCTATTTTCATAACCTGATAGTCTAAACAAAAGACAGTTGATAAAAATCTGGCCAAGATTGGAGACATAACTAACTCTTAAAGGTAAAAATACATAATAATAATACATCAAAGCTAAAAATCAGCAAAAAATAAATTTTCATTTTGGACAATGTTAGCAATGTTGGCACTATTATGTCATCTTTCAGAATAAATGTCAAAAGCATGAAAATAAATACATGTAATTGAATTTGTGCTAAGCTAAAGCTTTTTTTAAAGCAAAGATCAAAAGAGCCAAGAAACTGATTTCAAGCCTACTGGGTTAAATTCATAATTAACCTACCCTGCCCAATCAGCTTATTTGGGCCTCAGTCCAACGCAAAAATCTACAACCGTTACACCGCAAAGATCTGTGACCAGTTTAACGCAAAAATCTATGATCAGTTTAAAACAAAGATCTACGTGCGACCAGTACAATGCAAAGATCTCACTACGAACAGCACAATGAAAAAATACAACGCAAAGATCTACCTAAGATCAGTACAGCATAAAGATCTACCTAAGATCAGTACAGCATAAAGATCTACCTAAGATCAGTACAGCATAAAGATCTACCTAAGATCAGTACAGCATAAAGATCTACGACCCGTATTAAGCAAAGTTCTTCAACTTGTGCTAAGCAAAGACGGGGGCTCTCGTGGCCTAGAGGTTAAGGTGTTGGCCTCTCATTCAAAGGTCCCGGGTTCGATTCCGGGTAGCGACCGAAAAAATTTTCTTCTCTAAAATTGTCTCCTTTCACATCCTTTCCTGATCTCTAACAATGTTCTGTTGTCTGCTTTCATTTCCACTTTCTGCCCCCACCCCCTCACCTCCTTTGCCCCGCTCCTCTGGGCTCCTGACTCTTTCTGCAGCCTTTCTACTGCTACTCCTTGGCTCCTCCTAACTGCTGTCTTTCTGCCACACCCCTGATCTTCTGGTAGGAAAGATCTACACCTAGCCTCTCGGACAAGGGCGAAAAATCTCGGAGGGCCCGTGTGCAAGTTGCGCACGTTAAAGATCCCTTGGTGGTCTAAAATCGATAAGAGTAGGCTTCGGCCGCCACCCGGGCAAAATTCAAAATTTCCTACCAACGAAATAGTATTAGGTGTGTCCCGCGCGCTCATATGACCTATGCAGTTGCGAGCGCCGTAAAACCCTATACTAAACAAACAAAACAAAAGCAAAGACCTGCAACAAGTAAAACATTCTATAAATATAGGTCACCAATACTATGCTACTGCTCTGTTAGGAAAAACAAAAAAAATTGCCAGCGCAAACAGAAAAGTGTGAATATTGTTACAGCCAGCACTGAACTCAATATAATATTCCATATTTTCTAAAGACGTTGATACAAAAAGGAGAGACTGAGCGTGGCCTAAGGGTGTAGTTATAAATATGTGTTACGACACAGTGGAATCAGGCACTTATCAAATTTTGGGCATGTAGAGTTATTGGTATCAACTTGTTCATTTGTCTTGCCTTCGATGAAAAAAATACCCATTAATCTTGAATAGAAGTCGGGATACTTGAGAACCTGTGGTAACTGAAAACTTACAATTGTTGTGCCTTTAATCAACATTTTTCAGTAAAAAATCCACACAGAAATGTGTTCTTGAATGAACAAAAAGATATTGAGCCAAAAAAACCCAAAAAAACCATTGATAAAATTAGCCAAACAGATGGAAAAATGCCAGTTTCTTCAATCATCATTTTAACGAGCGCCTGATTTCTCCACAATGCCTCACATATGTGTCTCGACACGGTGGAATCAGGCGCTCGTCAATTTTTGTGCATATGGGGTTATTAGTATCACCTTAAAGCCTGTTACTTTGCCTTCTTTTTGGTGGAAAAAAACATCAATCTACTATGTTGAATAGAAGTGAAAATATTTGCGATTGAAGGGGGTCAGGGTTGCCTAGTTTCAGAAGCAAAATTAGTGAGAAATGGTCACCAAAATAGTGTAACTTCCATAGCCTGAGAGTCCCAGGAAACTGGCAATTTACATTTTTTGTGCCTTCAGTCACTGTTTTTATGTAAAATCCTCACAAAAATGAGTTTTTATATAGATAGAAGAAGCACTGAGCCAAAAAAAAGAAAATTAGAAAAAAGTTCCCCATCGGCCAAAATATTGCCGATTTCTTTGATTTTGTTAATTCACCACGATGCCTCACATATTGTCTTCTCTACCCCCTCAGAGGCAAAAGGATGAAGGGGGAGAAGTTATGATAATGTCATTAGTTCACCCAGGAACATCACTCAGTCCACTCACCACCACCACCATCATGGCTATATTTGGCCATGAACGAGAATATTGTGTGAAGTTACACACCTCCGCAGTGGTGTATACTGCAGTGAGAACATAATGTGGATTTACTCTGAGTGAATGTGTGCGCGAGCGTGTGTCTGTGTGTGTATATGTGTGTTTTGTGTGTGTGTGTGTGTGTGTGTGTGTGTGTGTGTATTAATAAGCATGGTTTCTCTTTATGTGTGTGTGTGTGTGTGTGTGTGTGTGTGTGTGTGTGTATATGTGTGTGTGTGTGTGTGTGTATATGTGTGTATTTATGAATGTGTATGCTGACAACAGAGGCTAATGGCTTCACGTGTGAGTGTGGGGAGCATGCATGCATTCACCAACAACAAGACAACCTCTAGCCTAAACCAGATGAAAAGAATAATGATGCACACGAGAAAGATGTTGATCACAGTGGTATGGCCTGTACAATACAGTAACATGCATGGGTTTTTTTTAATGAATAAGTTCTGATTCCATTTACTTCAAGCCTTGAGATTTTAAATGAATCGCTACCTCAGAATTACAAAGTTCTATATCTGTTCAGTGCCTAGTTCTGAGAAATTCCCCGTCAAAGATTTTGAGTTTCCCTTCATGTCAAGTTTTTTTCGAAAGCAATTCTTTGAATATCTTGACACCCACTTTGAATAATTTTAAGATTTTGAAAGAGCAGAGAGGAACATCAAAATTTGGTTTCTGATCTCACGGCCTTAGTGACTCAAAACAGCCCAAAATGTCAGATGGAACTTTGTAATTTTAAGGTAGCGATAGGCCAACTTCAATTTGTATTTCGAACAATAACTTTGTTCAACATTAGAAGCAGGTTGATATGAAAAGGCACTTTTCTTATGCAGGGATGGCTAAAATTTTATCTGTGCATCTTTCTAAGATTGAACATAAACATATTTACTGTTCAATTCTGGAAAATATTCCATAATTACAGAAGCACTTATTCTATTTTCATTGGTTCAAACAAACAATACTCCGTTTTGATCTGAACACACGAT